TGAAAACTTCAAAGCCTAAAAAATACTTCAACTCTCCTAGGCTTTTGATCCAGAAAGCATGATGAAGAAGAGCTTTTATATGGTCTATTTCTTTCATAGAATCTCCTGCTAAAATGATATCATCTACATACACAAGGAGAGCTCTGAAATTTGTGGATGTTTTCTTAATAAAAAGGGAAAGATCAGATTTAGATTAAGTGTAATCAACAGAAAGTAGAAAAGATGATAGCTTATCAAACCATTGTCTACTAGCCTGTTTCAGCCCATATAGAGACTTAGTTAACCTACAAACCTGACCTTTTGCATGAATGTTCAACCCTGGTGGTGGTTCCATATATACTTCTTCATTTAGGTCTCCATGTAGAAAGGCATTATTTACATCAAGTTGATGTAGATGCCAATTTTTTGAGGTAGCAATGGCTAGAATCATTCTGACAGTGGTTAGTTTAGCAACAGGTGAAAAGGTGTCCAAAAAATCTATACCTTCTTGTTGGGTATAACCCTTAGCAACCAAGCGAGCTTTGTACCTTTCTATGGTGTCATCAGCTCTATGCTTAATCTTGTAAACCCACCTACAGCCAATGGAGTTTTTTTCCAGGAGGGAGTTAAGTTAAGTACCAAGTACCATTGTCCTGCAAAGCTTTGAGTTCTTTCTGCATAGATGTAACCCATTCATGATTTTCTTTGGCTTCATTATATGATTTAGGCTCATTAGTGACAGATATGACCAATGTGTACTTTAGGTGCTTCTCCTACAAAGAGTCATAACATAAAACATTGGAAATAGGATAGGGAGTTTTGTAATTATTTTTAACATGTAGAGAATTGGTTGAGGAATAATTAACCTGGTGGATGTAATCATTTAGATATCCGGGAACCCTTTTAACTCTAATGGGTCTTCTAGAAATGTGGTCTTCTATGTCATTAGTATGATCAGTACTAGTGTTAATGGTGGTGTCTTCACTGTTATCAGATCCCTGCTCAGTATTTCTATTCTCAGAAAAATTTTGAGTTCCATCACAGTTTTAAACATACCAAAAATCATTAGACAAAACACTTTCAATTTCTTTTTCAACATAATTGGTCTCATTATTCTATTGATCCTTGAAAGGGAAAATATTCTCATAGAAAATGGCATACCTGCTTAAGAATATTTCTCTAGTATTAACATCAAGTATGATATATCATTTAACAACATTTTTATAACCAAAGAAAACACCTTTTCTAGCTCTAAAATCAAGTTTATGTCTATTGTGCTCTAAAGTGGAAGCAAAACATAGGCAACCAAAGGTTTTTAAGTTCAAATAGGTGGGAGGAGTGTTATATATCAAACCATAAGGAGTCTTACCATTTACAACAGATGTGGGTAATCTATTTATCAAATAAATGGCATGAGATATAACATAGGACCAGTAGGCAGTAGAAATACTGGATTGGAAAAGGAGACTGCGAGTTTTATCTAATATGTGTTGGTGTTTACGTTTAACAATAGAATTCTGTTGGGGAGTCTCTACACAACTCTTTTGGTGTTCAATACCATATGAATCATACATAGCAACATAGTTAAATTCAGGACCATTATCAGATATAATAGTTTTAACAGTTTTGTCAAACTGATTCTTAATTTTTAAAATAAAATTTTGTAGAAGTTCTCTAGTTTGGCCTTTATTGTTCATCAAAAAGGCCCAAGTATGCCTACTATAGTCATCAACTATGATAAGAAAGTATTTATGCCCATGAATAGAAGGAATAGAAATAGGTCCCCATATATCATAGTGTATCAATTCAAAACAATTACCATAAACAGTGTTGCTTTGGGAAAAAGGAAGTCTATGTTGTGACAATGGGAACATTGTTTTCCATAATTGGGATTTCTCCCTCTTCCTCTTCCTTGACCATGTGAGCTAGTGCCACGGCCTTGAGATTTCCAGTTGGGTTTGTTAGTGGTGCTGGCCAAAATTTTGAAAGAATCATTCTGATTGATAACTCCAAGATGTTGTCTTTCTTGTCTTTCTTGTTGCATAACGAGAGAAAAGACCATGTTGATGTTGGGAAGGGGCTCCATCAAAATAATTTGAGTCCTAACATTATGATAGGTGTCATTTAAGCCTTTTAGGAAGCAAATAACGTGCTTAACCTCTCTATATTTTAGAGAAACTCTAGACAAATCACAAGTACAGGAGATTTGGCATGTGCAACAAGGTATGGGTCTAAGAGATTCTAATTCTTCCCAAAGAATCTTCAAGTCATTGAAATATTGGCTGACATTCCTTTCTCCCTGCTTAATAGAATGAATATCTAATAAATCTGAAATCTTGAAGTAGTTTCCTTTAGAAAATCTTTCTTTAAGTTCTTCCCACAAATCTTTAGCATTATCAACATAGATATCACTTTCTGCAATCTAAGGTGAAAGGTTCTTGATGATCCAGGACAAAATCATTGTATCACATCTCTCCCAAGCCTCAAATAAAGGGTTAGTTCTTGGTGGCATTTTTATACTTCCATCAATGAATTTGATCTTGTTTTTGGAGAGAATTGCTCTTTTCAAATTTCTACTCCAGGATGAGTAGTTAGTCTCATTAAGAATCTGGGAAATGAGAGTAATGCTTGGATTTTCTCCAAGATGAAGATAAAATGGGCTAGAAGGATTAGTGGTGGGATCTGGGTTGTCCATCATGCTAAGAATAGGTCAATAAAAACATTGCTCTTTTGATACCATATTATAATAAGGCCTGTAGTTGTTTTAACATCAGTGAAGAAACTTGCGTTAGAACATCAGTGAAGAAACTTGCGTTAGAACATCAGTGAAGAAGCCACTTGTGTTAGAACATCAGTGAAGAAACACGAGGCTGGTCCGCGAGAGAAAGAAAGGACTAGAGCTCTCCATGGCAGCACTCAAACATGGCATATGGAAGGAAAAGAGAGGGTCGATCGGAAGAGAGAGACTTCCATAAGGTAAGAGAAAACTAAAACTTTTATTAATATTGTGTAGAAGTGTTTTTTTCAATTTCAACTGAAAGGGAAAAACCCTAACCTTTAAATAGGTTAGGGAAAAAGGAAAAGGGTACAAAACAAACTGATGTAACTGATTACTATTTCTGAGTAGTAACAGATTTAACAAAACACGCATCAATACACCCCGTACCTCCAATTGCGGCGACCAACAACCTCACTTTCAGGTGTGGCTCCCATCACCCGTAACTCTAACTGCGGCACCCCCTCACCTGCACCTCCAACTGTGGCGACCAACGACCACACTTCCAAGTGCGGCTTTGCGGCTCCCAGCACTAGCAACTCCGACTGCGACACCCCTTCATCCGCACTTCCAAGTGCGACGGGGCGTTAACCACAGTTCCAACTACGGCTAAGGCTCATGCACGCACAAAGGCAATAATAAGCTTGATTAAAATGTGTGAGAAGAAGAACTACCACTGCTACTACAACTTACCACGACACCAACAGCACAAAGTTACCAAACCAAGGAGGAGGGGAGGAAGGGAGGAGGGAACAACCACTCAGCAACTGAGAATGGTAAAAAATGAAGGAGGAGGGAGGAGGGGAAGAGCACCAGAAGAGAGGAGAAAGAAAGACGTGTAGGATTTTAGATATGAAATGTCGCAAAGAAGAGGAAGAGAGGAGAAAAGGGGTGTAGGGTTTTGCAAATCTGAGATGTGGCAGAAGAGGAAGGGTTGGTGCTTTTTATTATTCAATGGGGTTAGCTTCTTTTAAAATCAAAATATTCTCTGACAGGACAAGGGTACACTTGGAAATATAAAAAACAAGGAAGTGTAGGCTGAACTTAGTGAGGTACAGAGAGAATCACTCAAACATTAAATAATAATCATGTGGCAAGCTGTTAAAATAAGTGGTAGTAGTATTGTAAAGGATGTTTCTTTATAAGTTTTTTCCTAAAACTTCTAGAAATAAATAATTCTTTTATAATTGAAAAAATATTAAGTTTTACAAATTAAACTTATGCATAAACTAAATTTAGTTTATAATTTTCTTTTTCTGTAAATACTTGTTTAACACTCGTAAATTAATTTTAGTTTTTGATTAATTTTAGTTTATGAAAAACATTTTCTTATAAACTCTTATTTAAAACTCGTCCAAACATATACCACAGTAAATACTTGTTTAAAACTTGTAAATTAATTTTAGTTTATGAAAAAAAATTTCTTATAAACTCTTGTTTAAAATCCATCCAAACATATACCAAATGACTCATTATTAACTTTTAACTGGTTGACCCTGCATTTCCAATTATTTCATCCTATATCTTCAATTTCCAAAAATAATTTTACATTTTTTTATCGAATTTCAAAATTAGATAAAGAAAATAAAAAATCCTTCATTAAATTTCAAAATTCACCGAAAAAAATAAAAAATTATTTATTAGATTTCAAAATTCGATAAAAAAAATTATTAATCTAATTTTGATATCAGTTGAACCACAAAAAATGAAATGTAGGAATTTTTGAATTGCAAAGGACAATTTTGAAATTTAAAAGAAAAATTGGAGATGCAAAATGAAATAATTGGAAATAATTGGAGATGCAAGGATAAAACAATCTTAGTGTTTAATTGGTAACGGGCTGCAATATCTTTGATTGACCAAACCATATGTGAGTGCTAAATCTTCCCCTTCAATATTCCCCTTTGTAGAAATGGAGAAAAGGTTCAAAATTTAAATTAAAAGAAGAATTTTGAAATGATTGCTCTTATTTTTATCGTATAAATCATCCATAGTTTCTGGTCTGCATCAATCTTAACCATAAATCACCAATCCCAAAGATGTACCAAGACAATTATTTTAATTTAATCAATACTCTCAAGTTAAACCTTGAATATGAAGGGGTTATATAAAACATTCAGAAAGATAGTTCACCATCAATACTACAAAAAGGTTCTACGTTACTCAACATGATTATTTCTCGGCTAAGATATTACAGTCTCTTAACGAATGCTCATTTTAATAGAAGAACAATACACAAAGTAAATAAATAAAATTTAGAAATAAACCTGTATACACGTTCAATGAGTTTGATATATCCATGTCCATGTTCCTCAATTTTGGATTACATATATTACAATATGGTTACTCATTTCCCCGTATGACATCAGCTTTACCATAAACTGGAGTAATAAGTCCAAGAATAACAAAGCCACCTAAAATGACTATCAAAATGCCTAAAGAATTGATCAGAAGTGCTTCATTGGAATAGCGTGATATGATTTTGTTCACCTGAAGGAATGTAGCTTTTTCCAAAATACCAGTAGCAGTTGTGGCTATGGCCAAGGCATAGATATACATACCAAAGAAAACATGCCATGGCAGTAAAGTTGCTCTTCTATTTCTTGACCCTCCAGGGTACCAAAATGTTGCAAACCCAGCAGCCCACTAATTAATATTTTAGCAAATAATTAGATTCAACCAAATGATAGAATCCAAGTTCGAAACAGGTTAAAAGTTTCTATATAAACACTTACAAAAGATGGAAAAAAAAAGGCTTTTCCAAAAAAACTAACTTTAACTATGCACATAAGCTAATTTTAGTTTATGGAAGAAGTTTATTTAATTGTTCTTTCTTATTTTTGTCTTAAATATAAGTACTAATGAGGTGTTTACCTAACAAGGTTTAGAACAGCTTGTAAGATGAAGTGTCATACCTGGATGAGGAACAGGAAAAAGCATGCAAGGCCTAACCATGAATGGAGGCTGTAGAAGTTGTCAATGCCCTTGTCAATGTGAAACTTCCAAGCAGCCCAGATACCGATCAAGCTCAAAATGAGAGCAGCAAACTGTAAAGTGAGATGAACTGATTTTTTGAAGCTTTTAGTTCCAGATAGAGTCTTGTATGCAAGCATCCCTGCAAATTGCCATAGTGAATAAAAGAGGGATGTTCTAACATGAAAGTATTTATAAACAATCAAGGGGTGGTAAGAAGAAACATTGTATTGAATTTAAGACAACAAGTTCCTTGGGATGTTTCATTTTCATACAAGGTTAATACAAGCATGTTGAAGGTACTAACCAGCTCATGTTTGCTATCCTTTACAATCTACCACAATATACCACCAAGATTTTAATTCTAATTTGGCCTTTGCTGTTTCATTTCGGGTCAGAGAAGGCTCTACTAGTTCAAAGGATTTAGATACCAAATGTAAAATCAAGACATATGATGGAAAAAATGTTTTATAGCACTCAGTAGCACCACAAGCATGTCAAATGATAGGGGATAACTAATCATCAGATAAACTGTGTAAACTAAGTGGAAAACACCATGTTCCTAGGCAACAATGATTGATATTAATCTACATTCAGATTAGGACAGAAATCATACATGGAGATAAAACAAACATCATTATTTGAACTTATTTATTGTGCTTGTTTTCTTTAGAGGATCGCAAACAATATCCTACAAAATGGAAACTTACATCTAATTGATAACAATTCATATAATTCAAAATATGGCAAAGTATCCGTATCGTCCTATCCAATACCAATACTTATAGATATGAATCCAATGAATATCCTCCTTTTTGGCTTCTTTCAATTTTACTGACTAATATGTTTGGATCAAATACGTGAATAAGACTTCAATCACATATATAGTTCTATTTTTCCCTCTGTATCCTTAAACATATAGCAAACAGTAGGCAATTATATAGAACCAAGACCCCTAGATGCTTTTGTGACTTTGAAAGGGGAGCATTGGAGAAATAAAATCTAACCCTAGATCTTGGATGTGATCACAAGTATTGCTTTTGTAAATCATGATCGTCAACAGCGGACAGAAATGATAGAATTATATATTGATGAGAAATGGTCAACACTTACAAATATTGTGTATCCATCATGTAAGTATTTTTCAAAATTTATATTCACACTTAACATATCTAAGCAAAATATTATATCTTACACTTTTATAGTTTTTGCATCCTTGTATCAATGTCATATGGTACTCATGTTGTATCAAGTACTCAGGCTTCACAGAATGGAAACAAGAATAAAGATCATAGAATGCTTCACCTCCTAAAATACCCTAACATTGAGAAACATGGTGAATCAGCAACCTAACTAGTGTACCATGGTGCCAAAAGACTCCTCACTTTGCAACAGTTTACGACAGAGTGTTGTGCAAAACGTTATCCTTGAATTCTCCATACTATGACTCCAGTTTTAGCTATGTAAATTTTCTTTTTTCAAGCTGACTAATGTTTTCATATACCAAGTATTAATTTTTTTTCTTCCTAATTTTTCCTCAAATCAATTTCCCTCTCTTATTCAAAACAACGCATTTATTTTGAAAAAAAAAAACGAGAATATTTCAGTAAAATTGTTTCAAAGAGGGGTATATTTATTATTCTCATTAACATGGGTGAGAAAACCTTAAACTGCAATAATTTGGAACAGAGGAAGTGTATGCAAAAGGACTGTTTCCATATTCGAGCCATGCTAATCAGCAATCATGAATAGCACCATATGTAAACGGACAAATGAGTTTCAGTAATCAATGGTTGCCTTGCACAAATACAGGGACACCCTAATTTGATTTTAATACAAAGATCTAATAACAACTCTCCAATGCAACTGAAATATGATCAGTGACCACAAAAGGTTTCAGAGATACCAATATGCATAAAATGATGTACCAGTGAGATACATAAGAAAATTAAAAAAATATAAAAACATTTACCTTCACCATTGATTAGAACAAGCCCAATCACCATCAACACAGGATGAACCTACATTGGAAAAACCAAGCCAAGACAACAAAGCTAAAAGAATTCAAACAAACATGGACCTAAAACAAAGTGATAAAAGAAAGTCAACGAGACAACACAATATTCAAGATCAAACACTGAAAACCATTCCACCCTTTTCAGTTTCTCGTTCAAAATCAAATTCCCCATAACAGAAAAACGAAAAGATTGAGCAAATCCCGCATACCCATCACCCGAAAATGAAAAGAGAAGGCCGTGAAGAGGGATAGTTACGTTAAAGATTAGATCTTTGTTGTCAGAGACGAGAGCGAGGCCACCCCGAAAATGGACGGCCCATGTGAGGAGAAGAACGGTGACGGCGACGCCGACCACCCTGACCACTGTGAAGATCGGAAAACTTACCACGGGGAGATTCGCCATTGGAATCTTTGTAGAGAGAAATGGGAAGAGACACAAGAGGGAAGGAAATAAAAGAAATGTGAAAGGATATACAAAATGAAAATGGTGTAGCTTTGTACAGTGATATCAGTTTCTTCCTACACCGGAAGCAAAGAACTTTGACATTCTAAATTAAAATTATGAATTTCATTTAGGTTTTAATTAGTAAGAATTTTCTGAACAATTTATCTTTTTAGTGATAATGAAAAGATAGTTTTATATAATAATTCATTTATATAGCAAATTGCTAAGATGTAATTATTATAAAAAAAGTCAATAAATATAATTTAATTTTGTAAAATATGTTTAGGGGCAATTACGGAATAGAAAGTTTTCCATTTAGTTTATAGTGTGTTAAAATAATACAAGCCGATACTTTGCGGAGTTTAATAACTATGAAATAATTTAATTTGGTGATTAATTAAAAAATTATTGTAAAAATCAACAAAGATGATTCGATTTTATGATAAATATTTTTGGCATATTAATGAATAACTTATTTTCTCTACTTTATGACAAATTTTGAAAATTTAAGATTCAATTAAATATTTGCATGACCCATGACTAATACTATAAGAAAATAGTTTAAATATGTTTTAATTTTTTTTTGTAAGAATTATGATTTCCATTCTCAATCCCTTTAATACGTGTAATAAAATAAATAATTTAATACTATCTTAATAAACTAACGATGTTTTTTCAATTATTATTCGATAAGTAACGGTGTAATAAAGTTTCAAGTTTCAAATTTTAATACATGAAATGTTTTAGTGTTTACACAAAGCCATATTATGCAATATTCCAATCTTTTGTAACATTTAATTATTATCGAATCGTACACTTTCAATATTATAAAATAAAGCAATCAACTCAACTAAAACTTATAAAATATTATTATAGATATCTAGATATGACTTATAGTAATTTTACATGTCTATGAAATATTACATTAAACTAAGAGTATAATAAGTCTTTACGAAAAGAAAGAAATTGAATTTGAATGTCTTACTTTAGTCTCAGCTTCATCTCTTTCTAGTACCTTCTCACTACATAATTATCTCTCTCAATTAGAGATGGGATGGTTATTGGAGTGTTGAAAACATTCTCCGATTTCAGAACTCCTATAAAAATACAACACTAAGCACAACATAAGAATTTTTCCCATGGAATTTCTTTTACTACATACTTAAACTAAATACACATTACCCATTACCATTCACAGGAAGTTCATAATTATCAAAAACTACATACATAACATTCGTTATCATATGTCATGAACATATTTATAAGCATAAACAAATACACATCATATTAGAATAATCAATCTACTCAAACAAGCAATTACACTATTACAATTTACAGGACATTAATAATTTATTACGAATTGTGCATATCATCATAATAATCAACTTAAACCAAACAAGAAACTAAAGCCAAGAAAACAATATAAAATGTTAGGAATAGGGTGTTCAACAAGTTATACTGCTCGCCCAGCGAAAGGACCTCTTGTTTAGTGAATTAAGGTAAAAAGAGGTTCAAACCTGGAGAGGAAAAGTGACACTCAGCCCTAAAAACCAAAGAGCTCTCTGGTTTTGCAACGCTCAATGCTAAGATTCTAGTAGCTCAATGTTTTGGCAAAGCTTCATGCCACACAGGGCCGCTTAATGCTATATCAGATGACAACAACCTGTTTTCCTTGTTAGATGCATCTCAGACCTATCCAAATGACCAAACTAGTATCATTACACTAGAATTGGCGCAAAAACATGTTTGTGAGTAAAATTGAGTACCAATTTTCTTAGTTTGTCAGAAAAAAGGTACACCAAATCAAACCAACCACTCAATTTCTACATGCTATAAACCATATTTTAGTGATCTAAGCGGCTAAACAAGTTTCAAATGATTCAAAAATAGACCTAAACACTCAGTTTCTTCCCAAACCAACTCTTTTAGATTTTCACTTATCAAAAACCCCCAAAATAGACTAGAAACTAACCCAAAACTCTACCTATTGATTACATCAAGATGCAACAGCAGATTCCAATCAATTATAACCTTAATACACCATCTCAAGTGATCAAAACAAGTAATAATTAACCAACATTCACGACAATACTCTTCCAATTCAGATAACACACATGTAATTCACTTCAAGCAATTATACAACAACACAATAAAATCTCAAATAAACTCAATCTCTTAATCAAACTCAAGCATACCAATTCAGATAACCAAAGCACTAAAACAATAGAAAATAGGTATTTAGTTTTCTTTACCTGACAGATGACCAAACCTCTTTAGAAAGCCTAAAACAATCTCAAACGCACAAGAAGTCCTATCTACTCCTACAAACCACAAAATCACAATTAGGGTACTCCGTTAGAACCATTAATCACCAAAGACTCAGATTGAAGACTCAAAAGACACATGCAAGATAAGCGGGACTCACATGAAACAAATATAAGAAAAGACAAAAAAAGGTTGAAAACTCAACTTACTTAAACGGAGAAACTAATCGGTCTAGATTGAAGAGCTCAGCGCAAGGATAAATCATACGATCTCAGTTCTTCAATCGACCGAGCTGGGAGCAAGAACCTTAGAGAAGTCATAAAGCTCTAGAAAAGTGGTTTCTAAAGAGATGATGTGTTTTAAAATAATGAAACACGTTCATAGCAAAACTATTTAATTAAAATAATTTAATATTAAAATAGTTGAGTCTCACTATTTTTATATCATTACCAGTTCTAAAAATTTCATTTTTCTAGGGTGTTAGATTCTCCCCGATAAGATAATTTTCCTCCTTGAAAATTCACTCATCAAGTAGAAAGAAAAGCATGCTCTCCTCATTTTTTCTTATCACTAACACCTAGCTTGACCGAGATACTACCCCCAACACCTAACTGACTGAAAACCTTGCCTGTATGAAAAATGATCTATTGTTCAACAATGTAGATTAGTCTAGCTACTACTCTCAAAACAACTTCTCAACCTCAACATTAAACCTTGAAAGATTATTTACATCTGATCAACAAAAATTGTGTCTACCCAAACTAAACTCACATTCCATATATCTTTCACCACTTCTATAAGTTCTACAAAAAACGAAAGATAGCCTTAGGTCTTAATCTGGTACATGTTAGATATCTCTTCATATAATCTCATTCCCTTTGAAGCTTCACACAATTGACTTGATCACCCACAACTTTTGATCTACTACCAAATGTTGACACTCTTGATCCCCCTTAACACAACCATTATGATAACTTCATGCTTCATATATTAATCTTGTTAGTGAGTAATATAGTACTCAACCATGCTATCCTACTATCAAAGAAGAATTCTCATCTGTTGCAACAACCAAAACTAGGATTGGTACTTCATATGCACTTCTTGACCCATTCTTTAGAACTGCATCCTTCTCAACTTGAAATCACTAATTTGATCTGTACCTAGCAAATTTATGATACATCTCAATCTATGATGATTTGACTTTCCTTTCTCCCCATCCATTTTGAGAAACTCATTAATTATATTATAGAGACTATACTAATGAATTATCTGTATGACTTCACTTCAGACTCTAATCCTCATACTTCTCCGCTAACTCTTTCTCTATTCGTATCCAATCAACAACTTATATTTTCTCTCTATTCAAAGTGTCTATTAACTCTCTCACTTCTTCTTTGTCTTTTGACCAACTTCCTTTGTGTAACTTTACAATTTTAATTTTGACTGCTTGTTGAACCCCTTTAACTAAACCTCATTGAAACGAAATCTTTGCTGCTCTCCAGAATACTCTAACGCATTAAGCACCCTACCTTGAGTAAGATCCCCTTCTCATATACCTTCCATCATCAAGAAACATAGTTGGTCATTACTTTGCTAAGCTACTCTAGTTCACATACTTGTCCACTCCTTTGTTTACCGAAACAATGACCTCTTTATGTTATTAATGACAAAAAAAATGAAATCTTAAAAAGTATCCTTCACAATTTCCATAGAACTTTCAAAACCTTAAAACTCCATTTTTCCAACGACATCCTCAGCATCTACTTTCATTAACATTGTCTCAACTCCTTAAAACCATAGTTTCTAGAAATCACTTCTGCCTTATCCAAGACTTACACTAGATCAGTCCTACATGTTCTCTACTTCTCTTCCAAGATCCACAAAACTTGTAGTTATCCCGGTGATTATACTGAGTCCAAACCATCACTTTTCTAACAACTCCCCCACTTGCATATTTTACTTCACACTCATCATGAACTATTCAATTAGGAACTATTGATTCTGATTTTGCATTAGACACCAATACAATAGTGAACTCCACCACTCTTAGGAGGTAATTCTAGTACCCGCTTCAGAACACTTATATCCCATCTTTCACCACAAAGATCATGTGCTTCTCTCTTTCACTTGTACTTGTCAGATATCTCTTATTCACATGATACTTGCCCCACTCTTGTTAGCTCGATTCGCACGTGATGTACAATTATAGACTCACCCTCTTAACACCAAGAATCTCTCTTACAAACCAAAATCCACTAGAATGAGGTTGGAAAATGACCAAACTACAACTCTTGAGCTAGAACTCCAAACTTGCAAAAAAAATCACTCATATAAACTTTGAACTTGAGTCATTTGATCACCCTTTCAAAAATCAATCTTTTGAAGTCTGACTAATTTTAAATCATTACCACTTTTAAAATGTCATTCTTCTACGATGTTACATATTAAGCAATTAAAATGTTAAGAAAATTTTGAAAGACACCATGTATAATGGAGAGAGAGAGATTTTTTTTTTTATATATTTTATTTTCTAATTTTATTCTTAGTAAGTAATTATTTTTATTAATTTTATCTTTTAAGTTATATTTTTGAAAATTTGATTATTATTTTTAAAATTTAACTATTTTTTTAAACTAAAATAATTATTTTATCAATACCGTTTGTTTTTAAATTTTATCTTTTAACTAAAATAAATTTTTTAAAATTAATATTTTTTAAAACTAAAACAATTATCTATAATAAAAAATTACTACAAAATTAATAAAATTTGTCTATAATAAATTTGTAAAAATTATTTATATTTAATTTTAT